AATGGGCTGTTACTGTTTACACCCATCAGACACTCCGATTGATGCACATGTGAAAACAGACAGTGCAATCCTGCTCTTAAGTATCTTTTTGTCATCTTATTTTATATTTTATTTGCTCTTTTTGTCCATAATGGAGCGTGCGCGTCACCTAGCGTCGCGCCTGCCACAAGATCTCTCACTGTTTACATGAGACACTCAGATGAGAGCAAATAAAGTCCAATCCATCTCTTATCTACCTTTTTGTAATTTTTTCTTATATTTTATTTGCTCTTTTTGCCCGTATTGGAGCCATCTTCGCAGTAGTGAACGCGCCGAGAGAAATGCTCATTTCATATGGATTAAATATAATCTGAGAGTAGAATAATCTATTTATTTTCGTTTTGAATTGTTTTGTTTAAAATTAGGCTAGACATTTCTACCTTTCTAGATGTAGCCTATTTATCATGTCTTTGAGAAACGTGCAAAGCAAAAAGTTCATGATTTTATTGCTATGCCTATATGTTTGCTTTGCTTCTTATTTATTAAATCCTGGGAATTGGTTGATCAAACATTGATTAAAATCAAGATGCAATTTATTAAAAACGAAATTCACTTTAAAGAAAGGCTTTATTTAAAAAAAAAAGATGTATAGATGTATGCATGTCCCCACCACTTTTTGCCAGGGTCGATTTTGTACCCACCACTTTTGAAACATCTCGCGGCGCCTACTCGAAAGAGAAAAAAAATAATGAATGCGTCATTGTACCCAGCACTTTTGAAAATGCTCTTCCGAATACGTCTCTCCGTCCCCCAGCACATTTAAAACCAAACCAAACTGACGCCCGTACACAAGAGCAGGATAACACTGTCTGTGTGCTCTCGTGTATTAATCGGAGTTTCTGATAATAAACAGTGAGAGATCGTGTGGCTGGTGTGGCTGGCGCGATGCTTAGAGCCACAAGATCAAATGATAAATAGATAATATCCTGTAGGGGTAAAAACTTGCTGGCGAGTGGCGAACATGACTTCTTTGTCAGAAAGATGTCGTTGGTGTAGACACTTGTCAATCAAACATGTCTGACCAACAGAGAAGCACCCGCCCACTGCGGAACGTTTGTGTCAAAATGATTCAATCAAAAAAAATTTAACTTCAAAACTTTTTGCACTTCAAAAAAAATTAATTATTCAATCAAAACAATTTGAACTTCTATTTTTTTTTTCACTTCAAATAAAAAACGAAAACAACGAAAAAAACACATTCTCTTCAATACTTTTTTTATTCACGACGTAAATAATTTTTTTTTTTTTTTGCTTTTGAACAGTTTTTTCTTTGATTGAAAACAACTCTTTTGGAATTGAATGATTAAGACACAAATGTCCTACCCATGTATGGCCCAAACACAAAAAAGATTACTTCAATCAAAGAGAACATTTTCAATTAAAACAAAAGGTGTTCAAATGCAATTTTTGGAGTCTCAAATATTTTATTTGCATTCAAAAATGATTTTCTATATTTGAAAATGTTTATCTTTTCATTGAAGTGACTTTTGTATTGATTCTGTTGTTTGTTTGTTTGAAGCAACTTCTTTTTTGATTGAATGATAAAGACACAAATGTCCTACCCATTATATGGTCCAATCAAAAAACAATGTTACTTTAATTAAAAAGGTTGCTTTAAACAAAAAAAAAAAACGGACTTCTATCAAAGAAAACATTTTCAATCAAAGAAAAGCAGTGTTCAAATGTATTTTTTTGAGTTTCAAATATATTCTTGGATTCAAATACTTTTTTCTTTGATTGAAAAGTTTTTTTTTCATTGAAGTGAAGGTTTTTTTAATTGAAAATATTTTTTTTGATTGATGCAACATTTTTTTTTTGATTGAATAATAAAGACACAAATCTACCTTCATACAACACCGGGACGAATTTCGCGCGCGATATTCGTCGACGTTTAACGCCTCGTGACTAAACAATGGGCGCCAATGTGAGTGTTCACACCGACGCGAAAAACGCCACGCGTAAAAGCGTCATTTTTAAAAAAACGCCTTGGGTTCGTTTTTTTGGTTTGACGCGCCGCGTCAAAACCTATCCGACCAACGAGATTGGCGGGTTTGCTCACGTGTCTGGTACTTCTGAAGGCCTGTTCACACCGGGACGAATTTCGCGCGCGTTATTCGTCGACGTTTAACGCCTCGTGACTAAACAATGGGCGCCAATGTGAGTGTTCACACCGACGCGAAAAACGCCACGCGTAAAAGCGTCATTTTTAAAAAAACGCCTCGGGTTCGTTTTTTTGGTTTGACGCGCCGCGTCAAAACCTATCCGACCAACGAGATCGGCGGGTTTGCTCACGTGTCTGGTACTTCTGAAGTTACAGTAAAACACAACTTGAGGGCGCTCAAACACAAAACGGTCTTGCCGAGCACACATACGGCGAAGAAGAGACAAGATACCTACTGTATGGGCAAGATGAATGTTGAGCTGCTGGTCTCGGAGCACAAAGAGCTATAAGATAATATTTATATTAGTATTTCTGTAATAATAGTATAGTATAGGGTGACCAACAGTCCTGTTTTCCCGGGACATATGTAAAACGGTCACTTTGTGCTTTATAGAAATCTGAGTTGAGATGAGAACTGCGCATAGTGTGCATAATGTCAGTTAGATTTTGACAAGTGAGGAGAGGAGATAACCGCTGTGCCGACTCTTTGTATTCTTTCTTTTATTTTATTTTTCTATTGTGACCAGATGCTTGTTTGTTTGTTTTCTCTCGCTCGATCCCCGTGTATGAGGAGGACGAGTGTGACGTTTGAGTGGTTTTATTAAACGCGGGGAAATACGACAAATCGTCTCTCGTGCATCTGTTCATCTGACAACTGCTATGTTTTTATCTCTGGGCAACATCTCAACTTTTGCGTTACACATGTCCTGTTTCCACGTCCTGTCCTGACTGTTTTTAAGTGATGAAAATGTCCTGGTTTTCAAAAAAACTCCTGGGAAAGATCAGTTACAGCAAAATATAGATGGACAAACAAGGATGAGGAAGAAAAACAGGATAAAGAGGATGAAAACTAAAGATATAAATAGATTTTGTTTTTTGTAAGTTTGTGAGAGCTATTTTTTGTTACATTTGGAGGCATTTTTTTAGTTATTTAATATTTATATATTTATTTTTCTAATACAGAAGACATTATTTCTATCATTATTTCATTCGGGGTTTTTTTAATCTGTCATAATAAAACATTGAGACATGAATATGATCACCCTATATTCTATTATTATTTCTGTTTTACGTTAAGCGCCATCTAATGTCAGGGAATGAATTTGCATGTTTACTCAGCTCATCGTCAGCGAAAAACGCTTGGGTGTGAACACAAAAAACGCGTTGAAAAACGCTGACGAATACGCGCGCTGATATTCGTCCCGGTGTGTACGGGCCTTTATTGATTTCAATACAATTAAAATAGGCTATGCCCCCTCTGTGGATAGAAAATTGTTATATTAAGACACAAATTCAGATAGCCTAGGCTTCTCAGAGGATACTCAATATGTTTTATGACAGGTTTAAAAAATAATGAATGAAATAATGAATAAAAAATAATGTCTCTTCTGTATTAGAAAAATAAATATATAAATATTAATTAACTAAAAGAAATACCTTCAAATTGAACAAAAATACCTCTCACAAACATACAAAAACAAGCTAGTTTTCTTCCTCTTTATTCTGTTTTTCTTCCTCATCCTCCTTGTTTGCTCATCTCCTATATTTTGCTATAAAGCTGATCTTTCCCAGCGTTTATTTATTCTTTTTTTTTTTTTTGAAAACCAGGACATCACTTTATAAAAAACGGCAGGACAGGACGTCGTGAACACAGGACTGATAACAGGACTGTTGGTCACTGGTCACCCTATTGCTGCATAACTTCTGATTTTGAAATAAAAATCGCGAGTGTTTGTGGTACGGTTCACGCACTGCAAACGCAGCATATGTGAAAGCACTTTAGCGCGTGCGGCTCCTGTACCGGATAGCCTACGCACCGCAACACTCTCCGCATACGCACTGCAAACGGAGTATGTACGCCCGTTTCACACATACTTTCCGTACCGAGTCTATTTCTGCTGTGCTGCAAACGCAGAAATAAAGTGACAGCGCACGGTTCGTGGTCAAAATGAACTCAGATTGACCTCGAAATGTAGTAGTTTCACCATAAATGCATTTAATTCAATAAAATGTAATAATCTCTCCATAAAGGTATATTTAATTGTTTCATATTTTTACTTTAAGACATCTTAATATATAAGTAATGCATGGAATTGTATGCATCGTGTTTAAACGAGCATGCGTCCAAGTTTGTTAAAGAGAATCGCAAAGCCATGGCAAAACTTTTATTTTAATAAAAGTTGCTGCATATGGTGAACATATTTTGATTACCAAAAACCAGGACACATGGCCCAGAAAACAAATGATACTCGAAGTTTACTCAAAGATGCCTTATTAATTTCAATACAATTAAAATAGACTATGCCCCCTCTGTGGATAGAAAATTGTTGTATTAAGACACACATTCAGATAGGCTTCTCAGGGGATACTCAACATGTTTTATTATGACAGGTTGGTTTAAAAAATACGCACTGCAAACGGAGTATGTGTGAAACGGGCGTGGCTACACTTGATGCGTCCGCATGAGCCCAAAGGTAGGCTACGGCAAAAATGACATGACGCGTGCCTCCGCATCCCCTAGACATCATTTACTACACACAAGGCTTTTTTCTCTGATTTTGAAAACGCTTCGCGATCAACTTAACAAAGTTAGATCTCTTCCAAGATCGACGGGTTAGTGATTCCTGTAACTGTTTAACGGTCAATGACATAAGTAGGTACTAATCAGCTGTCTCACGAACGTAACCAGCACATTTATCTCCACATAGCAAAGCCATAACACATCGAGGGAGAACTAAGTTACATAAAACAATCCAACTACATATTTTACACCACTCACAAGGGAAAAGTCACTACTCACGGTGTTCAGGGCTAGCTTTCTGCTGCTTCTCTTTCAAGATAGTGATGAAATGCGTTCTGTAGCGCTGTTTGTTCGCGTTCGGCTACGGTAGAAACATGACGTCACAATATGTCGATCTTCATAGAAGGGGATGCCTGCGGTTATGGAGATATAAATGTCTCATTCTAAGGTAAAGTTAATAAAAACATTGCATTTCATGTCATGTTGCATTTCTGTTAATATATAGCCTACTCAACATTTTTACACATTGGACCTTTAAATTATTATTATTATTAATATTTCACAGACCGTAGTAGTAGGCTAAGCAGTGCAAGCCAAGTCAAGTAAAACAGAGTTTCTGATCTGGCCAATAATGACCAAGCACATGAAGCAAAATAGGCTATCTGCGATTAAATGAATTGTGTAAAGTTAACAAATAAACCAAATCTAATAGATAAACTATAAAGCTGGCCGAAAGAGCAATACTGACAACAAAACTAGATGTAATTGCCAAATAAGTTAATTGCCATTAATATGCAATGTTTCTCTGGACATTCTCGGGGAAAAGTTTTGAAGAATTGAAGTATTAATGCACTCTTGATTAATTGATTTTTCCTGGAGCCCATTTGTAAATCTATGGTTATTCTTCTGAAATACAACATACCAAAAAAAAAAAGAAAGAAAAAGAAAAAAAATAGAACATTAAAAAGTAAATTCAAAAGTAAATTCATTAAAAAGCAATTCATCTTAAAACCCATACTTCATGTTTATAACCTGGTCTAATTTAAAGTTTATCAGTGAAACTTGAAAGATTATGTCTCATTCTAAATGTGTCCTTAATTCTTTCCCCAAATCACACACTGCAATTTCTCCACTGATCGTTTACAGAAAATATGAACACTGAATATCACAAGCAGACATTTATATAATTAATACAGTACTACATCTGTACATCTGTATTGTACAAATGTATCGTAAATTACAATGTAAAGCAACCTTGAGCTACGGAAAGGAGCTAGATAAATAAAACTTTGTCTTCTTCTTACATCTGAAAAGAAACAGAGACTTACCCTGAATTTGAAATGATTCTCTGATGTCTGAAGGGTGAGGACGACCTCACTCTTTTATCCCTTTGGACTGTACCAAACAACAGAGGTGAGGGTGGTATGATCTTAGTTAAAATAAAGAGATTACATTAAAAGAACATTCAAATTCCTTTATTATGAAGGATTGAAGTGCAATAATGGTTATTTCTGTAAATTTAACAACAAAATGTTTTATTATACTTTCCACTTTATTAAACTAAAATTAGAAAGTCTAATACAAAGAAACTGTTGTTGTTAATTTTTCATATTTTTCCTATCAGTTTCAGTTTTTCCTTTTAGTCATGTGATTTTCAGAAACTTGTAGGACCTTTGGAATGCTGTGTGAACCAGAACAAACAATGCAGATCTGGAAAGCTGCCCAATTTCAACACTGTCACGAATGAATCCACTGGAGGCATTATGAGTTGCTACAGCATAGTATCTTTGTACAAATATATATTGTTTTTGTAAAAAAAAAAAAAAAAAAGACATTCTCAGGGAAAAGAGTTTTGATCTATTGAAGTATTAATGCACTCTTGATTAATTGATTTTTCCTGGAGCCCATTTGTAAATCTATGGTTATTCTTCTGAAATACAACATACCAAAAAAAAAAAAAAAAAGAAAAAGAAAAAAAAGAGAACATTAAAAAGATAAAAAGCAATTCATCTTAAAACCCATACTTCATGTTTATAACCTGGTCTAATTTAAAGTTTATCAGTGCAACTTGAAAGATTATGTCTCATTCAAATGTGTCCTTAATTCTTTCCCCAAATCACACACTGCAATTTCTCCACTGATCGTTTACAGAAAATATGAACACTGAATATCACAAGCAGACATTTATATAATTAATACAGTACTACATCTGTACATCTGTATTGTACAAATGTATTGTAAATTACAATGTAAAGCAACCTTGAGCTACGGAAAGGCGCTATTTAAATAAAACTTTGTCTTCTTCTTCTACATCTCAAAAGAAACAGAGACTACCCTGACTTTGAAATGATTCTCTGATGTCTGAAGGGAATGAGGACGACCTCACTCTTTTATCCCTTTGGACTGTACCAAACAACAGAGGCGAGGATGGTTTGATCTTAGTTAAAATAAAGAGATTACATTAAAAGAACATTCAAAGTCCCTTATTATAGTGAAGGGTTAAAGTGCAATAATGGTTATTTCCGTAAATTTAACAATAACAGTTTTTTGTATTAGACTTTCCACTTTCTTAAACTAAAATGGGAAAGTCTAATACAAAGAAACTGTTATTGTTAATTTTTCAAAATGTTCCTATCAGTTTCAGTTTTTCCTTTTAGTCATGTGATTTTCAGGAACTTGTACACTGTAAAAAATATTTTCAAGATTTGTTATCACAACATATTTTCTTTTGTCAAATCAACTTTATAATAATTTATTTAGTTGAGATAACTTATTATTTTGAGTTTCTGATGGTTAAATTAATCTACTTCATTGTATTAACTCACTTTTTCCAGTTCAATCAACTTAAAATTTTAAGGCAACCAGGTTACTTACTTTTTTAAGTTAAATCAATAGTTAAATCCAATCAATGTTTTTTTTTACAGTGCATTTGAATGAGACATAATCTTTCAAGTTGCACTGATAAACTTTAAATTAGACCAGGTTATAAACATGGGTTTTAAGATGAATTGCTTTCTATCTTTTTAATGTTCTCTTTTTTTTCTTTTTTTTTTTTTTTTTTTTTTTTTTTGGTATGTTGTATTTCAGAAGAATAACCATAGATTTACAAATGGGCTCCAGGAAAAATCAATTAATCAAGAGTGCATTAATACTTCAATAGATCAAAACTGTTTTCCCTGCGAATGTCTTTTTTTTTTTTTTTTTTTTTTTACAAAAACAATATATATTTGTACAAAGATGATATGCTGTAGCAACTCATAATGCCTTCAGTGGATTCATTCGTGACAGTGTTAAAATTGGGCAGCTTTCCAGATCTGCATTGTTTGTTCTGGTTCACACAGCATTCCAAAGGTCCTACAAGTTTCTGAAAATCACATGACTAAAAGGAAAAACTGAAACTGATAGGAAAAATATGAAAAATTAACAACAACAGTTTCTTTGTATTAGACTTTCCAATTTTAGTTTAAGAAAGTGGAAAGTATAATAAAAATATTGTTGTTGTTAAATTTACGGAAATAACCATTATTGCACTTCAATGCTTCATAATAAAGGAATTTGAATGTTCTTTTAATGTAATCTCTTTATTTTAACTAAGATCATACCACCCTCACCTCTGTTGTTTGGTACAGTCCAAAGGGATAAAAGAGTGAGGTCCTCCTCATATCCTTTTTTTTTTCCGTGGGGACATGTCACCACATATTTTTTACAGTCTATGGTCTATAGCCAACAATTTATTATTAATTCAATTTCAGAAAGTTGGCAACCCGTTATAACTGACGTTTGAAACACTGTAAATGCATCTGCCAAATGATTAAATGTAACAACAATAGACTGATACGTCCCACACTGGAGTGTTAATATATTTTGAGCATTTTTAATATACCATTTTGAGCATTAACACTTTTCTTGCCTGTGTCAAGTTTCCCTGGTGATCCAGACAGGTTGAACCAATGGGTGCTGAACATGAGGAGAGGGAACTGGGCCCCACATACATTTCTCAAATATACCCTGAATTCGAATCCATACCAGACACACAGAAAATCCCATATTTACTGTGAGAAAAGCCCAAATGTTAAATAATTGCTGCAAAATACATCTCCTTATGCCATGAAATGAGGACAACCAGTGGAACCTCAGACGGATAAATATTTGTACAAATTTTTAAATAGTAATTATTTTGATTGTTTGCTTTTTTTTTAATTATTTTATTATTATTATTATTATTACTGTTCACTTGTTCACATCTATATGTTTGTATGTGTCTATTGCTTTGGCAATATTGTGCTATTTTACACATTCATGCTAATAAAGCTCATTTGAATTTGAAAAAAAAATTAATTTGAATTTGATTGCTGTGTCCATCTGATGAGCGAGACAAATTCCCCAGGTTCTGTAGTGGTAGATATGTATGTATGTGTGTGTGTGTGTGTGTGTGTGCATGTATATGTGGAGTTTGATTTAGCCGATTTTAGGATTTATTTATTTTTTTTTTTTTTGGGGGGGGGGGGGGGTGTTCCCAGATAGGTCCGGGTGGCGTAGTCGGATTCAACCTAAAATACCATTCTGCCACACAAATGAAACTTAAACCACATGTAAGCTGCGAGACTGACAGATTATGATACTCCCTCCCCCAAGACCACCACCCTCCTATTGTGTTTTTTTGTTTTGATGTGCACACAAAAAAAAACCACACAAAATGACTTATTTTCAATATAAAATATGATTGTGGATTTTTTTTTTACCTTTTATCACAGTCTTGGACATGTCAAAGATTAGAAACAACATTGGTTTTGATGCATTGTTAGTTTTTGTGTAGCATCAGATTTGAACTTTTTCTCCCTCATTTACTGTTCGTGGCTGTTTTTGCCCCATTGACTTCCATTATAACCACATTCAGAGGATCCTGGATCTGGGTGGACTGGGAGAATCTTGAGAGGGACATGGTGGTTCTGAAAATCGCACGACCACTGCGATCATCCCACAGGCAACGTGTGGACTCCCCTCTGGATCTGTAGACGCTGGCCAAAATCAGTAGCCCCATATAGGCACAGAGATCTGTGGAGTCCACCCCAGTCCAGTTTCTCATTGTGCGGTGCCCATGGAGGTTGGTCATGCTGACAATGAGGTCAGTCATCTCCTCCGTAAAAACAGATTGAACACAGAATCCATGTTCTGGACCCTTGCGATAGCATAGCATGTCGGCCCTCGACTCACGCCTCTTGCAGACTGAAGAAAGGGAATTGTCTCCGCATTGGTGGAAAACCATACTTCACCATTTCTCCCAATCCACCCAGATCCAGGATCCACAGAATC